AATTAGGAATAAAAAAAAAATTGGATATAGCATGTTATTAAGATTATTTCATACTGGTAAATTTGTCTTTTATATAACTTCAACAAGGACTTGGAGAATCTAAGAAAAAGACATTTTCAAAGAAAGAATTAAAATACATGTGTAATACAACAGAAGTGTACTTTCTTGCTCATCTAGCACCATGTGCATGCCAGGTATTATCATCACTTTGAACTATAAGACATCTTCTAAGAAACAATTTTGAACATTTTAACAACATTTTTCACTATTGATACTGGGATGATTCTTAACTACAGTTTTCTAAGTAAGAAATGACCACCACAATGGACAAATAAATTATTAATTAGGCCGTTGTTTTTTTCTTAATTGAATTGTTTCATATTTTTCATGTCGGGGTCTTTTATAGCCGACTATACGGTATGGGTTTTCTCATTGTTGAAGGCTGTACGGTTGCCTATAATTGCTTACATTTTTAAAGCTGAAACAATAGTTATTTCATAGGTATATACAGTGGTTAATTAAGGCAGTATTTTGCAACGCTATGTACCAAATAAACATAGTTTAGTCTTCAAAGACCATAAATGTTACAATCTCATACCTTTCCTTTAATCAAGCTTTATCAAATTTAGAAATTATTAAGATAGGCAGAAAACACTCTTTATAAATAAAAAAAGGAGACCATATAGACACCAGTCTATGTAAATAATAATTTCTGAATCTAAAAATGAACCTCGTACAAGCAATAACACATTAGACATAATATAAAAAAAAACATAATCAAAATCTGTAAAAATGAAAATAGAAACATGAAGTGTCGAATAGATGTGTAACATTGTATTACAAAAGTCAATTCTTAATATCTAATTAGTTACAGCTGTGCTGGGTCATACAAGAGGACATTTTAAGTGAATAGTACATTTACACTTGTACTTCTTTTATAGGAGAGGAAGTAAAGCAATCCGATGGAGGCTGCATGTAGATTTGGATCTGTTACTTCTAGAGACTTCGTTAAAATTTAAATGCACAATATTCTTTGATTGTTTTCTTATATCTCTGGTATCCACTTGAAACAGAGAAACTGTAACATTGCATTTTTTACTGTATTTGCAGCATATCATTATCATTTGAAACTTAAAATATATACCCTTCGCTTAAACCTCAAGAAGATATGAATATTTTAAATTATGACATCATCTTTCGAGATATGATCAAACGGAATTGATAAGAATATTATATGAGTCGATTCAATTTTCTAATTTATCGTAATTTGTATGACTTAGACTATGTTTAAGATCGAGTAGAGATCTTTGAAAAATCCTAGTAAAGAATAAGCTTCAGCTTTTTTTTTGTTGTAGAAATCGAGGTTAAAAATAATATAAAATTTTGATAATTTTGACAACTTTTGAAAAATTTCAAAAACTGGTATCTGTCAGCAATTTTAAAAATGGCGCATAATGGATTTATTTTAAAAGAAGAAGTCAGCAATATTGATACATTCCAAAACTTGATTGCATTTACATGCAAAACAAACTAAATGTTTTGACCTTTACTAAAGTCACAAATGTCTTTTATTATATTTTTCAAAACTTCTTTTTAACATTTTGACGTCAATAAATAAAACGTATGTGTAATATTATTAAATTTTGAGAAACTAAAAATTGTCCCTGAAAATGTGTTCCCGAATATTTACTTCCAACGTATGAATGAGTTAAACGACAGTACCTGCCTAATTCTAAATGCAATCATCCGGCGGCAGTATAAAAATAAGGAGATGTGGTATGATTGCCAACGAGACAATTACTACCAAAGTTCAAATAAAGTGTGGATATAAGCAATTATAGGCAACCATACGGCCTTCAACAATAAGAAAAACCCATACCGTATAGTCGGCTTTGAAAGGTCCCGACATGACAAATATGAAACAATTCAATTGAGAAAACTAACGGCCTAATTTATAACAAAACAATTTACGAAAAACAAATATGACAGACATGAACCAACTACAACCACTGAACTACAGGGTCCTGACTAGGGACAGACACATACAGAATGTGGCGGGGTTAAACATGTTTGTGAGCACAACATAAGAACAAACTATAAAAATCAGTTGAAAAAGGCTTAACTCATCAGATAGATACAAAGTTTACCAACGACCAAATCCCACAAAAGAGAAATCAATTCTAAAAAAGCAATATTTGTCTTATGATTCATTTAAAAACAAAATAACAATTTTTTCTGTAACTCAAGGCCTTATGATTAGATTCTGTCATTACTACTACTAATACTAAAGGGACATTGAACGTTCATTGTTATGTTAACAACTATCTCTCCTGAACGGTATCGACTATCCTTAACTAATAAAGGAGGTTCATTATGCTCTTACTTGATAATTTTGTTACTATTTATATCTGAGGAAAAACTGTTAGTGAATATGAATAGATTTATAAAAAATGTTTTTGAGAAAGTTACCCAACCTCATAATTTCTCGTTAATCACGTTAACGTTATTGCTACATAGTTCTTGATAATGCACGGAGTACGATGTTCTCCCTGTCATCGAAGGAAGAATTTATATTTTCGAAACCATAATTTGCTTGAAATTGTTCATATTGAATAAAACAAGATGTTGGTAATACGTCGGCAAGATAGACGATTATTACATGGACATATGAGATTAATTTTGTAGAAATCCGTATTCCTTAGATTTATCTCCTTTGCTTGTCAAGTTCCAAAGTCAAAACCAAATGGAGCTTGTACTTTAACTTTTTACTCATAATGCGAAAGTTTTCTTCTTACTTCTGCAATCTCTCTCTCTCAGTAGCACCATTCATAACCCACAGGCTTAAATGGAGGCAAAGAAATGTGGTCATCTTTGGACCTGTCACCCGATTGTTAAACCAATGATAAGGTGGAGCGTTCGTTTGAGATGTATAAATATGAATATATAATGATCTACTAGGTAAAGGATTGGGTTAAATCTGATGTCAAGTGTAAGATGAGTTTTACGATCTCTGCACGTTCAGGAAACCTTGTAACAACTCTTGCATGTGTCCGTATGTAGCCTCTTTTTTAAAAAGATGTCTTACTCTTATTTGCAAGTGACGATCGAAATACACACCCTTTATACCAGTCGATCCACAATGCAGAACCTTTCTATTTGATTTGTTGTTTGTTGTTAACATATTTTCAGCTCGAATATGCACGAAATATTTTAGACTAGACGAAAAGTAGACATCAATCAATCAAACATGTTATTTTACACGAAACCTCCCTCTCCCGAGCCTCAAGGAAATGGTCATATTCTTCTTTGTACAATAGCACACATTATGATAGCACCATTCCCGAATATCTTACTACGTTTTTTTTACCATCACAACATCACAAAATAAAGCTAAAAAAAATTCATCATTTGCGTCATCTTTTCTGATGTTTTTGTTTTCTAATGTCCAAGACTTTAAGAGAATCTAACAGACAGTGGTGGATCCGGTACAGGGATGTGCAAAATCCTGCTTTTTGTAGGGGCGACAATTATTTTTCCTGATATATCTTCAGTATATCACTTTTGTATTGCCCACTCCTCCAGTACAAAATCAAACATGCATTTCAGGTACAATTATTCAAAAAGTAAGGACGTTAATAAATAAATCAAAAATCAACTGTTTTTTGAATATTAAAGTCCATTGCCACACAAAATTGTTTCCATTCAGTTACCTTGGTAAACTGCGAAAAAAAAAAGGGATAAAGTTTTTCAGCGCTGTAATCTTCTTTAGATTGTTATGTAGTCTTCATTAATATATGTTCGAAATGACCTTGATTCCTGTTGTTGCGCGGTCTTATTTCTAGTTTTTTGTATTAATATTAATGAGAAAGTTACATATTGTATGGAAAAAATGTAAATTCCTCTCTTATATGTAGGAACACTCTTTGACCTCTTTCTTCATTCCTGTTTCGTTATTTTCAACCGAAAATTTTTTACATCCGAATTTACTTGTTTTGAGAACTTATGAGCAGTAACTGCTTAACATTATTTTTCTTTTCTGTCCTTCTTCATCTATTTTTGATTGACCTCTATGTTGTGTTTTATGTAACCTTTACAGAATAGCTCGTCTTACCTGTTTCATTTTCCTTTGGCATTACTGTTTTAGACAGTTTTTTTTTAAATATTTTGCCCTTACAATGTAAAGAAAGTGTCTCAAAATATTAATCTTTGAATGCAGACACAACTTATTTCCAGTAGCGATCCGTAATATAGAAATGTATAATTATGTAAACTACAGAAGAAACAAGAATTGATTATCACTCAGATATCATGCATTGGCATTCCTTCCGACACATTAACGTTACTTTATAATTTAAACTAACATAACTACTGCTCTTTCTAAAGTAGTAGTCGTTTGTAATTCAAACCTGTAAGGTCATTTGTCTTAACAAAAGATCCTCTTCCGATCTTTTCATCCTACTGTGAAGTCCAGTCTATTATCTGCCAATTTATCCGTGTAAATTGGATGACTGACAAAGTTGTTGTAATTTTAAATAAAGGATACAACTTTAGAATGTTTAAATATCTGATTCGGATCTGTTCAGATGTACTTGATAATGCTAGTTGGATTTCTTGAAACAAAAATGTCTCCAACTGCCAACTAATATATCATGCTTCCAACTTACTTTTTACAAAGTTTAAAGTAAGAAAGTTAGGACAAAACATTTTATATGTACATTTGTTCCTTTTTATATTTCATAGCTATTTCGCAAGTAAATACACTTCGTCAATCCTTAAAAATACACACACACATGAAACTACTTCATCGTAATTAATAGATTTGAAGTCAGTTTCATTTGTAAAATAAAAATAGTTTATATATTATAGCCTTAAATGCAACGCCTAATAAACGTAGAATCACTGTCGGTGAACTTCTCGTCGCCAATGGTGTGTTACGCCAAATATTTATATTTTGGGATTGGTGCTATTTATAAATATGTACATGAATACATACATTGTGGTAAGTTTACAGTTGATTTTTCTTTTACAAAAACTAAAATTGTAGCCCTAAATCAAGTATAAAAGAATGTATTTACAATTTTTAATTTTGACTTTCAAATTGACCCCGTTACATTTATGATGGTTTACATTGTTTCGCTTTCTTCGATAGTTTGTCACACTGAGTTCGTAATAAAGGTAAACTCGGACATGCACAACGAATTCGAAAGCTGCAAGTTCGGTTAATGTTAACTGATTTTCACCACTAAGTCAATACAAATGTTTGTGTACTGATAGTTCAGGGGATAACCAGCCAAAATATACTAGACTTTGTTGAAAGGATCATGGTTTATTATATAAACAAAAAAAAATAAGGTCGTAAAATATATTTTGACAGTTCGAGCTATTCAGTTTCAGTTTCCGTTTGGTAATACAGTGTCCAGTATATTAAGATATATCATTGACTGTCGAAAACCTCTGGCCAGTGATCAAGAAAGAAAAACGATTCTTATGTACAGAAATCCGTGCGTTTCACTTTAATCTGTTACAAACTAAATGTTACTCATTATTATTAGCCCTCAGGTTTCCCAACCAATAAGACTAACCAACACGAAATTGCATAATTTCATAGAAAATGGCTATAAACACTCTTAACTCTTCTTTATAGGAATATGTATATAATGATGTAAAATGTGAAACTATTTATGAAAGTAACACATATTGTTATTTCTCTTTGTCAGTTTTACATGCATATAGTTTCATCTGTGTGATTTACTTCTTTTTCTTGCGTTCGTTTTCAAGTTGGGCTTCTAACTCTTTGATCTGTTGTCTTAAATCTGGTAGCATGTTACGTGCTATATTTTCGGAAGACTCTTTGACTTGAAGTTTTCCTTTTACATTATTATATTTATGTTTAAGGTCCTCATTTTCTGCTTGCAGTTTCCTCACTATTTCGTCATGTAATTGTTGTTCTTCGTCGTTTTGCTTCTGGAGTTTCTGCAAACGCTTCCTTAATTGCTTTAGCTGTAGTTCTTTTGCTGCAATTTCTTTCTCTTTCTCTTTTATATGCCTTTGTAACTCAGCAGTACCACCTTTTTGTTTTCGAGCATCATTTTGTAATTTTTCTAACTGTTTATTAAGTTTATCAAATTCTTCTACTCTTTTATCAAGTTGTTCTTGAACATCTGGAATGTTATCTCCGGATAAAGTCATTTCGACAGCCTCCGTGATAAATTTTTGAAACTCATTTCTGAGCTCATTCACGGCTGATTTGATCAACGCTTTACCCATTTGACTGAAAAATATTAGGCACGATTTAAATTTTGTTTCGCCATGGAACGTATTAAATAGTTAAAAGACGAAAAAATGCCATACTAATATAGTTTTTAAATAATATTTTGCAGACACAAAACTAAGGTTCTCTAAGAAGTCTCAGACAGTAACTCGAAAAATGTTTTATTGGCGCTCATGTGACGTTATTGTACACAACATTTCGGAAATTTTTTACCCTGCATTTCTTTTAAAGCATAAATTGATAAAATAAAAGCATTTTGCTTGAAATTTGATGTGAAACCTGAATTTTTAGTGTCAAACAGACAAATGATCACCGCGTTTTGAGCTTAGTCTGTTTCATATTTGTATTCCTTTTCTACATTTTAGCAAGGTTTGGCACATGTGTCAATTTCAAAATGGGATGAAGATCATGTGACGTTTTCTGTTTTTCAATTGTTTTGTTTATAAAAAAAAAGTATGCCGACTTATATAGGATTTGGACATACATTTCGGTTTCATGATATTCTTCTCCAATTTGTTGTTCTTGAAAACGTTTAATTATGGGTTTTAATTTAGTAAAGAAATCGGCATAAAAATGTAGTTCTATACAATGTCTATTTACTCCAATTGTTAAAAAATAATATTTTTGATAAAGACAAATGCATTTCAACAATTTTGGAAACGTGAAAATATTAATATATATATAGATACTAAACTTAAACGGCATTAGATTCCAAATTATAAAAAGACCATTTAAATTAAATTTTTTGCGCCTTTTGATAAATTTTGATGTGGTTGGAAGAGGTTGGACGATTTGTTTTATAGATTCAGTGATCACAACTGTACATTTTAAATCATATGGTTACCTCCATATTATGTCTTTTCATTTCTGTATTTTTGAGTTGCTGTTTCAATGACGTACTTCTGACATCTCCTTTATTTGTTGTAGAATAAGAAATCAGAATAAAAGCCTAAATGCATGTATGATTTAAATGATTTATTTTGTTTCGAAACCTTCAAATCAGACATTATATTATAAATGGAAGATTTAGTTCTAAATTTAACGTTGCAACTACCTTTCCTTCAGTTGAACTTCCAGACTGATTTATTTGTTCGTCCTTTAGCAATTGATGTTCCAAAATGTTTGGGATTTTAGTTTTTCTTTCTTTTTTATGTTGCTTTTTTCTTGTTTTTTTGTAAATTCATTTAGCGTCTCAAACTTGTTTAACTTTAGTGTACCTGATGGAGGTGGTTCCGAAAACACTAAAATCAGCATCATAAGTGTATACATGTATATATTGAAAAAAACATAAAGAAAAAAAAAAGAACAGTTTACTTACTTCATTTTATGCATTTCGGAGGCAGTTAAACCAATAGGTACGTCTAAAAAATCAGAGCTTGTTTCTGGATCTGTAAAAACATTTGGGTGAACAAATAAAGCAAACGTAATACACTCGATTACGCCTCAGCTGTTAAAAAACTAAGCAACTTCTAATATAACCATAAACATGAAAGTATCGTTACCCTTGATACGTAAATTTTGACAATATTTATGATTTTTTGGGAAATTTTCCATGCATTTCCAAAGATAGACTGACGGGTATAGAATTATGGTCACCTGGATTTCTTCTTTACAACAGAAAACACTATGCCAAAAAGAGATGTCTGTTTGACTGTGCTGGATGAATAAATACAACGCCAATCCCATCAAGAATGGGAGATTTACATCGATTATATGGAGAATACAACGGTTTATGTACATGAACAACTGTATGAAGGTGGCCTATTGCAAGTCAAAAATTAGTCCAACCCTATCAAACATATTGTTTACCTTCTGTTTGAAGTGGTAGACAAAGTTTCCAGCCTTTCATCCCAGTCGATCCAACTTCCAGACTCTACCTTGAACTAATTTAGGCTTGCCTTTTATATGCATGAAATATTTGCCACTGGACAACATTCTACCTATTAATCACTGTACATAAAAAGTACTATAAAAAGGAATTGTAAGCAATTTAAATTCCGCATTCTCTAAATTCCGTCATAAAAAAATATTTAGAAATATTGCTAAAAATCGTTTTAATGATATGGTAAAATAGGAGGTTACAGTCCTTGTTTATCTAAATTTCACTGAATGAACATGGAAAACTAAGATTTGGTTTTAATGTCTAAAATACATTCATTTTACCTCTCTTTCTCTTTACTCGTCGTTTGGTTGACTTAATTATGGCAGTAAAACCAACCTTTAAATGTTGGCCAGATCTTCTTATAGATTAAAATAAAATACAGTAATCTCCAAACTAGTATATCCAAGCATCACCGTGCTTCAAATTGGTCAACAATGGAAAGCAGCCCTTAACACCAACAAACTGCAACAAATTACTCAATTGGAGCCCTATAAAATTAATTTAGTCCGGGAAATGGAAATGAATCAGATGTTAATTTTGGTTGATAGTAATAGAGGTTCGGTTGATAGTTATTAATATATAAGGTATCTTAATGCATATAATTAATTCATTCGTAATTCTGCTTTGACCTCATTGTGTTATTTTGCCAAACATGTATTGGATCAAAATTAACACCCACATCCAAGAAGCTTTACTACACAAGACACTTGTCTGTATGAAATATGTCTGTGGTGTGAAATGCCTTATCTGATAAGACCATAAAATGAAGCTATTCTTGTTTTGTTCTGTTTTTTACAGTTTTCACAAAAATGCAGATAGTTTATAGGCATAAAACAACTCTGCAAGATAATCTAAATATATCATTCATTATAGTTGATAGACATAGCTTGCATCGTGTAATTTTGGCATACGTGTATTGCTTTGATCTAGATGTCACTAACTTCAAATACGGTACAATTATCTATAATTGGTTATTGTCGTATTGTTACATTGTAGTTGTTTTTATGCTTAGAACCAACATTTTTAAACAGATTTTTATAGTTTTTTTTATGTCGGCTGTAACACCACTGTTCTTGGCAAGTGAGAGGTTGAACGACCACGAGCATACTCCATTTTGTATGTGTCTGTTCCAAACAAGGAAAATGCAGTCTAGTGGTTGTCATTTTAATTTTATAAGTTAGATTTCTCTTTTGAATTGTATGATTTTCTTTATCCTGGGGTCATTTATACCTTATTTTATGATGTGGGTTTTGTTCTTTGGTGAAGACTGTACGGTGACCTGCAGTTGTTTACATTCTTGTTCCTTGGTGAAGACTGTACGGTGACCTGCAGTTGTTTACATTCGTGTTCTTTGGTGAAGACTGTACGGTGACCTGCAGTTGTTTACATTCTTGTTCTTTGGTGAAGACTGTACGGTGACCTGCAGTTGTTTACATTCTTGTTCTTTGGTGAAGACTGTACGGTGACCTGCAGTTGTTTACATTCTTGTTCTTTGGTGAAGACTGTACGGTGACCTGCAGTTGTTTACATTCGTGTTCTTTGGTGAAGACTGTACGGTGACCTGCAGTTGTTTACATTCTTGTTCTTTGGTGAAGACTGTACGGTGACCTGCAGATGTTTACATTCTTGTTCTTTGGTGAAAACTGTACGGTGACCTGCAGTTGTTTACATTCTTGTTCTTTGGTGAAGACTGTACGATGACCTGCAGTTGTTTACATTCGTGTTCTTTGGTGAAGACTGTACGGTGGCCTGCAGTTGTTTACATTCTTGTTCTTTGGTGAAGATTGTACGGTGACCTGCAGTTGTTTACATTCGTGTTCTTTGGTGACGACTGTACGGTGACTTGCAGTTGTTTACATTCGTGTTCTTTGGTGAAGACTGTACGGTGACCTGCAGTTGTTTACATTCTTGTTCTTTGGTGAAGACTGTACGGTGACCTGCAGTTGTTTACATTCTTGTTCTTTGGTGAAGACTGTACGGTGACCTGCAGATGTTTACATTCGTGTTCTTTGGTGAAGACTGTATGGTGGCCTGCAGTGGTTTACATTCTTGTTCTTTGGTGAAGATTGTACGGTGACCTGCAATTGTTTACATTCTTGTTCTTTGGTGAAGATTGTACGGTGACCTGCAGTTGTTTACATTCTTGTTCTTTGGTGAAGACTGTACGGTGACCTGCAGTTGTTTACATTCTTGTTCTTTGGTGAAGACTGTACAGTGACCTGCAGTTGTTTACATTCTTGTTCTTTGGTGAAGACTGTACAGTGACCTGCAGTTGTTTACATTCTTGTTCTTTGGTCTTTAGTTGATAGTTTTTGTCTCGTATGCAATCATACCACATCTCATTATATTGATATGGTAAACTGCCCCTGAATTTATTTCACACCATAGCTATTTTTAGGAAAAACAATTTCATTCTTATGAGTTCATAGGTTCTCTGCTTCATTCATGTATGATTGCCAGTTTCTTGCATATGGTGGGTCGTTCACTTCTGGTACTCCGGCCTTCTCAACCAATAAAAACTACCGTTTTGATAGAGCCAACTCGGAATGCTGACAGTGGCGCTAACCACCAACAAATCAATCCATCAATTATTCATGTACAATAGAGATAATGCCCCGCCCTAGCAGTCATGGTCTATTTACTTTGAACTTTTTGCAGTTTTCGTGATGAAGTTTGTTATTTGGTCCCTAGCGTTCATTCGTTCATTTATATGGTTCATCGGCTTTTAAACAATTTCATAGTTTACGTTTAAAAAACAAATTGTGATTAAAACGTTAGGCTTTTTTAAGTTCAGTCAAATTTTACGTTGTATGCAGTTGTAAACCTAATGTATGTTAAATCTTTTTTTCTTTTTCTTTTTAGAGTCTCTTGCTTTTAATGTCAATAGCTATTATTTCAAAAACTTAATCGGTCACAATTTTTTCCGGATTCCCTGATGTAATTCTATCAGCAATTTTTTTTTTAACTTAATATAAAAAAAAAACTCCGTAGTAGTTGATTACGTTCACCTAGCCTGAAATTAAAATTCTCAGTAATCCTAGCTAATGTAATAGTTGACACATATCCCTTATCAACTTGATAAAAGGGGTGGAATATTTTTATATTTGATCTTATCAACCTTAAGGTGGTACATTACACTACAGGGAGACAACTCTGTAAAAATCAGCTGAACGTTTTAATCAAGTTCTATTGTTAAGGAAATATTAAGCTTCTCGATGATCAAAATTAGTGTTTGTCAAACTGCTATTTATCCAATGAAATTTTTCCGATAAAGTGTGTTGTTCAAGATTTTTGAATTTTTTATATTTTTATAAAAGGATCAAAGTCAATATTTTGTCAAAATTTTATGAAAATTAAACGAGCCAAATTAATTTTATTCGAGGTGTTTGGTACCACCTTATTATATATTAAAAGAAAATATTCAAATTGTCTTACCATCGTCATTTGACATTGAAGGTTTTCTCTTATCCATTTTCCCGTAAAATTAAAAGAATAACTTCACATTTATTGCATGTAGTAGCTAAATTTATTATAGTTCGAAACAGTTATTCTACATCTACAATCTTTGTGAATGACTTGTTACAACAAAATATATGAATATAAAAGAATAATATTGATATTCAATAAGATTATAATTCACAAACAAAACAATTATTTAAATGAGTAAACTAAAGATTTGTGTTGTAAATATAGAATTAGTTTGCATTCTTCTTTGAACTTGCATGTAACCTATTTGATGATAATCTTTTAAATACGGTCGTGTTAGTTGACTTCCTTGTTTCCATTGTATGTTGTAGCATTCTAAAATATCTTTCGTTCATACATGTAACGGCATGCTGGTAACAGGATGTATGTTTGAATAAAACCCATCATGATAAAGAAAACAAAAACTAACAACAGATATAAGTCCTAAGAAAAGATGAACTCCTGTACAGAGAAAAATAGAAATAATCATCATATCATTCTATTGTAATTGGCTAGTAGTTTACAATTAAATTGAATTAATAGATAGATATGAGCAACAGCGTTACATAAAAAACAAATAGACATAATTTGTGGCAAAATATATGTTGTGTAATGTCTTTGCTTATATCTAAATACTAATGACAAGATCTAAAAACGAGGCCATTTTGGTAGTTCTGTACAAAAAACAAGGAGTTGGAAGCCCTAATGCAAATGTGTAAGACAACATTTAAAATAAAAATACTAACGATTGATGGTTAAGTGTCTTTTGAATATTTTAAGCATGTTTTTAGTTTCGAATTCAAGGGTCCAAAAATGTGGCCTTATTGTACCTTCTTCTTCACGAATAAATTAAGTCAGCAGTGGCTTACAGATATTCAAAACATATTTAGTTGAAAAGATGTTAACTTTATCGATCTTTTGAAGATCATTTATACTTTAACAGATAATTAAGACCATATTAGAGACGTCGCAATATACTGTTGTAACCTCGAAAAAACGTGATCTATCTATTCAAAAAAACATGTTTCAATATTGATATAAAAATGAATTGCTAGCATGCGTTATATCAAAAGAAAACCTATTTTGTTATCTTTTTAGATATTGCAAGCAGCATGCAGTGCAATGATAAATTAATGATAAATAATAATCCAAAGCTCGTAAAATCCTAATTCGTGTCCTGTCCCGCGTAACAGTTTGCATGATGATGTTCGACATAAAACGAGTGTAGTGGATTCTTTTTTCTGTAAATTTTTTTATTTTGTTTCCTCGTTCATGGACGTCATAATATCTACAACCAGCGTACATTAACAAATACAAGTTAAACATTTAAAATTCCTATGCTTTACCATTTTGTGTAACAAGTTTTTTTCTCTACATCATAAACATAAAAAGAATAGTGGAAAATGATCCCCCTTAGCATTAGGCCAACAGTATAAATTTATAATCTTAGTATTAATTTTACTATTGAGTTTTACAGAGTTTTTTTAAAGGTGAAAGATGCGTAAACGATACTAAAAGTTCAGCAAACTAAAATCAATCAATCCATAAGCTGTTTTTACCGGAAAAAATAATTGTAGTTAAATATAGTTGTAGTATACATATTACCAATAAACGCACCAAAGATACCAGGCTTATAATTTTGTACACCAGCCTCACGTTTCGTCTACAAAAGACTCATCAGTGACGATCTCATCAAAAATGTTAAAAAGCCAAATAAAGTAGAAGAAAGTCGAAGAGCATTAAATGCCAAAAATTCTGGAATAGTGTGGTTTCTCAGGAGTATGGCTTAATATTTTAATTTGTTTTATGACATGACATCACACTATTTATTAGCGCTTGAATATCTTAGTCTGCGGAAAATACAAATCATTAATCCGTAAACTTCCCATAAGCAAAGAATTAAAATTTTGCATTTGGCTTTTTGATAAGATTATGATATGATAAGTGTTTGTAACCTAGATATCCTATTTTAGAATGTGAGACTGTAAATATATTTCATTTCGATAGTGTTGATTTCAATCCATAATGGGCACTCCAATGTACAAGTGCGGGAGGTCTTAGATTCGATCCCCAAATGAGTAAAGTCAAAGACTTTAATATTATTATTTGTCGCTCCTCTGCCAAGCACGAGGCATTTTGAAGTATAGGAGGATGGTTTGTATTTAGGACAATATCTGAGTAATGTGATACGTCTTCCTACAGACTTTAACCTTACGAGCTATCTTGCTGAAATGTATGTAAGTTTTTTTACGAAATCGGGTATATTTATGATTCATTAACATGTTATCGTCCCAGATAAAAAAAAAAAAAGATTTGCCGCTTAATGTTAAGAAGCCATCAATAAATCAATCTAAGTTTGCATTCGACCGATATTGGCCGATATTAACCAGAACTAGCCCCTTCAAATCAGTACTGACCACTACGCCGTCCAAATATGCGTTGACCTCTGTTTCACCTAGTTTGTAAGACCCTTCCGGAACATCTGTAGGAGATTAAATTTGTTTATCACCGGTTTGTTGTTTGGGTGTTGAGTTGTCTGTACTGAGTTTTGTAGACATGTTTGTCTTTTAGTTGTTTTCATTTTTGGCCATGATATAGTCAGTTTGACTTTGGCTATGATATAGTCAGTTTGACTTTGGCCATGATATAGTCAGTTTGACTTCAGCTTTTTGTTTTTCAGTATGGTCCCGTTGGCGACAGTAAATATGCTTATTTGACTCCAAGATTTACTGCATTCAACCACGAACCGTTTAATTATGCTACACATCTTGATCTAAATGTATTAATTGCATATCTGTTTAGAGTTTGCGGTAAGTTACTTGATTACAATTTACACTGTACAAATGTACAAAAGTATATTTTAAACGAAAGCGTTCTCTGTTGCAACATCTAATTATATGTAACTAAGCAATCAGTGATAAAACAAACAATTTTCTTCTTGAATACCTACAAAGTAAAAATCTAAACAGAGGAGAAAAGGGGTAAATGTCAATGAGAGACAAGGCAAAATAATTTCAACTAACTAAACTGTCCATTTTGTGAGCAGAAAAATCAACCTATAACTTATATCGGCCTACATTTCCGGAGCACCTGAGATCACCTCCTTTTTTTTCTTTTTTTTTTTTTGATGGGGTTCGTGTTGCTCAGTCTTTGGTTTTCTATGTTGTGTATTGTAAACTGTTGTTTGTCTATTGGTCGTTTTTAGTTTTTTGCCAGGGCATTGTTAGCTTATATTCGGCTAAAGAATTTGAATGTCTCTTTGGCCTTTCTTTTATAGCCGACCAAATCATATACTATTATATTAATGATTGGTGCATTGATTAGACATGTTAGAATAGCGTATACATGTGTATACATACATGTACCTCAATTCAAAATTGATTAGAATGAGTTATTACTAGCTATGGTCAGAGTTTCCTGTTTAAAACAGATTAGATTAAAAACATGTTGTTTTAATTTTAAAAAATATCCCAAAGCACCAATAAAAATCATAACTTTGTGCAGGATTTCAAATAACCTTTTAATAAAATTTGTAAAGTTTTCATTTTCAGTGTCATTTAAAGAGGATTTTTTTAATTTCATTAATCGATGTCAATAATGGCCGGGTGAGCAAACATGCACATAATAACTTCTAGCACGATGATTTTATACTTTGACACATATTTGACGCAGTATGTGAGGGAGGGGAACTGGGTAAAAATGTTCTCGCAATTAATAATAGATAGCCGAGGTAGTAATAGCTGATGAAAAATGTGGTATCATCATTTTCATTATCACTTTGCAGGATGTAGAGATTTTCACAAAGAATTTGCAATCTTAGCATCATTGATAGGAACCAAAATCATTAGATTAATTAGATTAATGTATAAGTAGCCAGGGCAGCTAACAACTGTAAAAAGTTGCATGTGTTTGGCGATGAATCTTGTAAATGGGAATAAATTAGCTGCAGCAAAGACGTCATTGCAAGTAAATAGAAAGAATAATGAGCATGATTTCAAAGTTCAGCGTTGAGATTTATGATTTAAAATAATTCATAAGCGAGCAAAATCTTTCTTTCAGATAATTTTAATTACAACAAATAAATTAGATACAAATTTAAAGGTTGTTTTTTTTAGCGAAAAGAACTTTTCTTTTAATTAATCATAACAGCTGATTTCTTAATTTTTATTTGAAATACAAAACTAAATGAAATACAAAATTGTCAATGACTATATAATAATACACACGTTGCATAAACAATGTCTTAAAATTACTGTTATTTGTCTATTTCTTTCTTTGATAATTTTTTCTGTAATTTTTTTTTTAATTCTTCATTTTCTGCCTGTAATTTTTCATTTTCTTCACGAATCTGAATAAGAGCATGCTTTGCATTGTTGTCACCAGCTAAATTTACAGCCATCTTTGATTTTAGTTTGTTAATTTGTTTTTTCAATGATTCAATTTCCGTCTTATGTTTCTCTTTCATTTGTTCCATTTCAGATCTCTCTTTATTAAATTCCTTTTCTTTTGCTTGTATTTGTTTTTTTAAAGCTTTGATATGACCTTCAGCTACTTTTATTTCAGTTTCTTTTTCTATAAGTTTTAACTCTAACTCATTCTTGTTACTGGTCTCATTTCTCAATTTGTCTTGTAAAGCCTTCTTTTCTCTTTCAAGTTTACATAATTCCTTTTCTTTTATCCCCAATTCTTTCTGTAGTTTTTCTACATCATCACCATATAATACCTCCTTGGCTGCAATTTGGCCTCCTTCTAAAGCCATATCTCGCATCATTGGAGCCATTCTTTCCATTGCAAGCTGAATCATTTGCTCTCCGAATTCCCTGTTTAAAATAAATTTTAAGAAACATTTTTCATATCCAAGGTAATTCATATCTTTTCTGTCTGTGTGATGTTGTTATATTGTCGTCTCATTAAAGGGGCATTAGCTGTCAAAATAATGTTCACCGATTTGAATCAAATTCTTATATTTGATTTATAACATACTAAAACGTATATCCAAAATACAATAAGTCTAAAATAACGGTTAACAATGCATATACTCGAAGATATATACAAGAATTTTGTGTATATTTTAGTCTTAGACGCCATCTAATTAACTATTGAGATGACCTCTGAAGACTGTCGGCGGTCACATAACCCGACATAAACATGAAACATAAATATAAATGAATAATGACTTCGTGCATTTGGATTTTCCTATGTCTGTTTGATTCATGTTTTAGGTTAAAAAAAAAGTTAATTATCGTTTTTACCTATAGAAGAATGATTGTTTCGGGATCGTATCCGTCAACGAAATGGTTCACCTTTGTTTCACTTTTAATGTTGACATTCTTTTTCTTTTAATGTCTGAACACGACTGATATATGTGTAACCAATATCTAGCTAATGGGTTAAATTGAAGGGCACATGAATACGGATTCAATGAGGTCGAATTGTTCATTTGCAAGTGAATAATTCCACAGCGATGTTTCTTCGCTTATTTTGACAAAATTGAACCCAATTGGCTGCTATAAGCGAATTATTATTTCATTATTTCACTTTTATTAAGGATTGAATGTAATTAAATAATATTTTGATTTTCTTTTATATCTCGTAATTTATATAGAAAATTGCTTATGATACACCAAATCTAAAATTTGTTGTTTTCTAGCATCTGGTCGATTTCGCAGGTAGTGGGCTGCTAGTCGCCAATGCTAACACAAGTTCAGTAGTCAGTGCTTTGGATTTGACATGATTCATGGCCATTTAAATAATCCGTTAAAAAAAGGGAAATAGTTATTGAAAAATACTAAGGAACAACTCCTTCAGGCAAAATCGACCGTATTTGGATTGGGCTATTCTTTTAAGATCCCTAGATTTATAATGTAGACACTCACGTTTTTTAGTATTTATACACCCATGGCTTTCAATTTTTTGAGTTTGAGTGTTCTTGAGATGAAGATAAATCTAGAAAAGTGCTTTGGATACATAAAGTTTAAAATGCATTATTTTCCTTTTCTAGCACTATGTCGATAACGCTACTGGTGGAGTGTTAATGTCAAAGGGTATCACCAGCTAAATAGCCAATGCTTTGGTACTGAATTATTAATACTTTAATTAAATCATCCTTTGAAAAATTGATAAATTATTCATAAACTCAAGTACTAAAGTTTACCGTAGGCAGAGTTCTCTATTTTTATAGGTCCCTTTTTAGTAATACAGCGCCTTAAGTATTCAAATAAAAATACATCCCTGGCTTTCACAGTTTTTGGGGTTGAACGTTCCTGGTGAATGTGAAGCTGGAAAAAAGCTATTGTAACATTGGCTTCCTGTTTTTTTCTGAATTTATGTTCTAGGTCAAAAGTTCGTAAAGAGAAAGATCCATATCTTGGGATTTTATTATTCGTACTATTAGTTCCAATTAACTCGTATAAACTGAACTGATGGATGAAAGTACTATGAACAAAAATATGTTCCGTACCAACAACAACAAATATCATCTAAGGTACACTTTACAAAAAAAGTGAAATAACAAAAATACCGAAATCCGAGGAAAATTCTGAACGTAAAGTCCCTCAGCAAATGACAAAATTAAAAGCTCAAACACATCAAACGAATGGATAACAACTGTCATATTCCTGACTTGGTACAGGCATTTTCTTATGTAGAAAATGGTGGATTAAACCTGTTTTTTTAGCTAGATAAACCTCTCACTTGTATGACAGTCGCATAAAATTCAATTATATTGACAACGATGTGTGAACAAAACAAACAGACATGATATGTAGAAAGGTCAAAAATAAGGATACATCAGTCAACATTGTGCTATAATCTTAATCACTATAAAAACAAACAAATATGTCAAGAAAGAAAATCAGAAAGTCATATAGACAAAGCACATAAGCAAAAACGAAAGACAAGAATACAAAAAATCACCATAGCACAATAACACAAAGACGGGATGTATAAGTACCGAGTCACGTCAAATGGATATTACCAAAAAAAAAGACTAAACAGTAAAAGTAATAAATTACAAAGCACGTTATTAAGAGGATAAACAACGTCAGTACCTAGAATCTATACTTTAAGACCATCGTATGTTTTTTGTGAAGTTGATACGGAATATTTATCAACAAGGTCTAGGTATCTTCCGATGAACTTTTTTTAGAAAAAAGACGAGACGTTCTTTGACATACCCCTGGATCATCAACTTTCTGCTCAGACACTGGTGACGTTTTAAAAAATTCTGAGTAGCAGCTGTAAGCTCTTGAATACCGATTGAGTTGGGAAATGTATATCCCATATGCAGGTGAAGTTGGTATATTGCTACTAAGGTGGGAGTTACAAAATAAGCACAATAAGATAATTATGAACTGGAATTTGACACTTAAGTCATGTGAAACATATTTTGAAGATTTGACGAAGAAGCCACTGAGGGAAATAGAAAAGGTGAAATAACGACAGAAGTCACAAAAGCATACGTTGTTGTTTTTTGGTGGTTTTTTTTGTAATACAAAGGAATTCAAGTTTTTTTTTCAAACACCGATGTTGGTCATGGCGGTAACGAAGAAGCAGCTGCTATAATTTTTAAAGAGAGCCATAACATTTTTTTTCCAAAAAATAAAAATGTTACGAATGTAGAAATTGGTCCATACAAGGATTTGCCTTGTTGTTTTGTTCCAACATAACAATGTTTTGCTCATGCTACTTCTTGCTACAGATGAGTGCAGCCCTCACCTATACACAAGTTAACTTTGAGCAGACGTTTTGACTGCTTTCCAAGTAAACTTAAGATTTGGTTTGCCGTCAAGCAAGTAAACTTTATCGATGGTAAACCAGACCCAAGTCTGCTTTAGGACTGTTTCGGACCTAATTATTAAGCTTTTTAGATCAGACATTTTTACAAAAATGTTAAGTGAATTTTACCGCACAATTTGATATGCTGTATATTTTGAATTGTCTTACCTTTTTACTGTTTTACGGAAGCTTTCAACAAAGTCAGATCCATTTTCTACAGGGTCAACTGCAAGGTATAACTGATTTAATATTTTATGATTTTATAATTAACGATATCGACTCGTAGGTATAAAATAAAAGTATCACAAATTAAAGATATTACCAAAAACGAATTAAACTGATGAGGATTTAAATTAAAATATCATGAAATATACAAACATTCAACAACGATACACATTTTTTTCTGTAACTCATGTCATGAGATTAGATGACTAGTAAAATCGTTAAATCCTATTTTAATGTTTATACTGACAAACAGGGTTTAACAGATGAAACATCACCACCAAATATAATCTGTCTTATGGTACGTTTTGTTTTGCCTTTTCACTCTGTGACTAGGTAACTTGCGAAAAATCAAAAATAAGGATCTTGGTTTTAGCGCTGCTAGCAGTGTTTATTAAAACCTATTTGAAATGTTCTTAATATCTGCGTGGTCTAATGTCTAGTTTTTCAAATATTAGTAGTAGGAATTATAATATTAAACCTTTACTTTTTTTGGCTAATATTTTAAAAACCCGTTCTCTTATCCCAGTTCTTTATTTGAAACCAGAATAATTCACTCTTACCACCTGATTGTATTTGTCTTTTTGAAAATTAACTTATGAAGCTGAAACTGATTCCCATTATTTGACCATAGTCTTTTCTGCCCTTCTTTAAATATTAATTTTGATATTGACCTTTAGATTATTTTTTCAAGATACTTTTTCCAAAATAAATACTCATCTTACCTGATTTTTCGACCATTGGCTTTCCCTTTTCACCCATTTTGAAATATAACGAAAATGTTTCTAAATATTAATCTTTAGATACCGACACAACTTTATACCGGTTGCGATCTGTTATATAGACAAAAATATATAAACCACAGAGGAAACAAGAATTGATGACCACTTAGATTACATGGCATTCTTCCCAACACATAACGTTATTTAATAATTTTAAAGTAACATAACAACTGTACTGATTTAATAAGTAGTTTGTAATTAAATCCTTGTAAGGTCATTTATCTAAACAAAAGATCATCCTTCGATCTTTTCATCCTACTATGAAGGCCAGTCTGTTATCAGCCAATTTATCCGTGTAAATGGGATGACTGACAAAATTGTTGTGATTTGAAATAAAAGATACAACTTTAAAATGTTTGAATGTGAAAAAATATCTGAATTTGCATCTGTAGTGATGTATTTTAAAATATTATGAACATTATGCGTGAATACATCATAGTGTTTAACGTTACGATGTACTCCCATAAATTAAGATGACCGAAATCATGTTTTTTGCATGACTTTTCAAGTCAAATTGTTTTTATTAAAAAATATAAATTAAATTAAAGCCATTCTTATGTTTTCAACTGGACTTTTGGTTTATGATTTTTTTTCATTTAATGTCGTTTCAATACTCTGCTAGACTTTACCTACACTGTCGCTTCAATTCTATGCTAGACATAACTCGATATTTTTATGTTTATCAATAGAAATCAAAATAATGTTGTTTCAAATGACGACTTCACAAACAACATGATTTGTTTTAAACGATAAAAAATATATTAACAAAAATACCGAGCTCCGGGATGAATTCAAAAAGAGGGAGGTCAATACAACTGGACAAAACCAAATGCTCGACTGACTATATCAACCAACGGAAAGATAGGAAAACAACTGTTTTATTCTTGAATTGGTACAGGTATTAATTATTATTCCGAAGAAATAACTGGTGGGTTAAACCTAGTTTTATAACCAAAAACCTTTGCATATTTAGGAGCTAAAGCAACTTCATTTTTTAAAGATGCTGCTTCATTTTCACTACTGCAATGAGTAGCCGAACGGGTGGGCTTATTATTGTTTCTATGTTTGTAGGTTCGCACTTGTTTATTTACAAATGAAAACAAATATCCCACGATTTGTTTGATCGTACACAACCTCCTGCATCCATATTTTCCCTCCATAACTATATTTTTGAATGCAATTTACCAACGAATTTAAGTTGCAATAAGCAAAACGACGGAGCTTCTAGTAAAACAAGATCTACCTACCCTTCAGAACCTCCTGAGGTTACCAACGGATTTTAATGAGACCTTAGTATTTTTTGTGTGTAGTGTTTTTCAGATAGTTGTTGTTTCGGCTATGGTTATGTCTGGTTTTTTTTCAACTTATGATTTTTTATACCGTTTGGTATCTTCTGTCTCTTTTTGTGCAAGATGTATATTCGATTATTTTCACTAGATGAATCATGTTCCAAACCTATGTCCTTCAAGACCAGTTTGAACTTTTGCTTAAAATAAAAAAGAATAGCCCGAATAATTCTTATTTCTTAACTTCAAAATGATTGTTTGTTTGATTGTTGGTGTTTCAATACCATAGCAATCAGTTTTTATTGTTAGATGAAGCCGGCTTGAGCTTCGACAGAAGATATGACAATCCTTGTCAATGAAGATCTGGATCGAACACACCTTGCCATGAGCAGGTTTCATATGAAGGGCCGTTCGGGTCATAATTCATTTTGTTACACGTACGCTAGAGGTACGCGAAACAGGTCATTCACGTACCCTAGAGGTACACGTAACACTTTGTTCAAGTACCCTAGAGGTACACGTAACACTTTGTTTACGTACCCTAGAGGTACACGTAACAGTTTGTTCACGTTCCTAGAGGTGCGCTTAACAGTTTGTTCACATACCCTAGAGGTACGCGTAACTGTTTGTTCACGTACCCTTGGGGTACGTGAACAAAGTGTTACATGTACCTCTAGGGTACGTGAATAAAGTGTTACGTGTACCTCTAGGGTACGTGAACGACCTGTTACGCGTACCTCTAGCGTACGTGCAACAAAATGAATTATGACCCGAACGGCCCTTTATAGTTTCAAGCGTATAACCTCAGTGTTGACAGGTTATTTATCATTGAATACGAACTACTTAGACCCATATGCCACCGAGTCTTAAACTTATATCTCTGTTTCAACGTAGATGAATTCTTTCGTAAACCAAAATGTGCGGAAATACATGATATGATCAGCAAACATTCACTAATAAGACTAAAAAAACCTTAGCAACAACCATGTTTGAAATGTTTGTTTAAGCATAACATTATATGGAGAATCCGCCTTGGATTGTCTCTCTTTATGTTACTAAGCTGCTCTTACCAATATCAAAATGGTATCGAAAAATGATATCACAAAAATACCGAACTCCAAGGCAAATTCAAAAAGTCCATATTGAATTTGATTAACTTCAGTATTGGTGATAACGTATTCGATGTATACTTTTTGGAAATTACAACAAATTCGTTTTCAGGGAACTATAATCTGCATTTGGAACATATGTAGAGTCTCGACTTTTCATGTTTGTAAAAACATCACGTATTTGTGAATCTAAAATAGATATATAAACGTTGCATTAACGTTATGACTGCCATAATATACAATTTAAGAAATTAGACAAAGAAAACAAGTTTCTATCCTATAGTAACAATTAATATTCTTTATTGGATTTGTTGAAACCAGTGGTTGTTAGCCTGAGAGACAGTCTAACCTTAACTATACTTAAGTCTAACATCTAATTATATAATGATGACTTAGTAAAAGCCCATACATCACCTCGATAGTTGACCTCTCACCTCACATTTAAACATCTAAACTACTTTAAGCTTTAAATCACCTCAAATTCATTTTTCTAAAGGAATTCTCCCCAATTATTCTCTTATTTAAATAGACATATTTGCTATCATCATAAAAGTAAGAAGATGTGGTATGATTGCCAATGAGACAACTCTCTACAAGAGACCAAATTACACAGAAATTATAATTCATATATAAGTGTCCAGTTTTATGATTCTTAAAATGTATCTATATGTAAACCATTATAAGATTCAAATTTTAGAAAAGAAAACAAATCCGATTCAGGTCAATTTAATGAAATACTCACTTTTGGATATAGAGTATTGTGTGACATACTTGTCAATTTCATAACGTAAATGTTAGAATACCTTTAATAGAAAATAACAACGATGAAAATATCAATTTTAAACATGTTTTATAATTCTAATATCTCCTAGAAAAATGGTTACATAAATGTTTTGAATTCTTGAAGACCGATAAATTTATCCACATACAGCTTCATTACGATCCTTACATGACAATTGTATATTAAAAGACAAATGTATCTACCTGCTATTAACCATTAAATGTACTTTTAGGCCTTTTGTCAATTTTAAACAATTTTCTGATCGGTTGTCAGGGGGAATTTTCGAAAGTTCGAAAAGTACTCAAAAAATTCTAATTAAATATTTCGTGGAAGGGCAGACTAAATATTTTCAGAGGTTGAAGACTTATTACCCTAGATACGACACACATATTTTTTTTTTAGTTATGCATTTTTTAGATCCATTTGCAAAGTCTGTCGTCGAGTACTTTTAGTAAAAATTTGCTATTCAAACACACCTGCTCTGTTATTATGACTCATTAGAAAGGTATTTCACTTGACCCATAAATTTTATTTTTTAGTACTGTAAATTTTTAATGTTATTATATCAACCTGTAGCCTGAATATAAAAATAATAGAATCTGAAGCGAGATGACGCATCAAATATGTTTGCTTTATACGTTTTCAAGACAAAACAGTCAACACAAACACGCCTGAACATATATAGTGTACTACACTTCTGTTTTCGATGAGATTATTGTCCATTTTGGGATTTCTTTTACAAAAAACTGTCAAGTAAAAACACGTATATAAGATGCAAATAAAATCTAATTATACACCTACATTAAACTTTTAAAGCCAATAGAAACAAACAGATGTAAACAATTCAAATACACACGCTTGTCATTTTTTACCTTCTCTAATAAAGAATTCGATTTCTTTTGTTTCATTTCAACTGAATATCAGCCTGCGATATATAGTCTATAGAGGCAATATCGGGAGCGTACGTAAAACTGGTTTAAACCACCACATTTTGTGTCTTTACTAAGTCGCGCAAATTGGACAAGGGGTTCTTATCTGTTTTGAAATTGTACGCCTTATGATTCTATACGGATAGCAATCCAATTTGACAATTGACGGAAGAAACGACAACAGACTGAAAGGAATCACGGACAGAATTGATTACTTTTAAATGAAATTCTTAAACTGTTGCAGCAACCTACAATCAATCAATTAGACAGTTGCACATAAATAGTCCTTTGTAATTTGTTAAGTTAGGAAAGTTCTTTGAAGTGTTTATTTTTTCAAATAATTCCATAAAATTGTGCTTTTCTTGATACTAGGAAATATTGACATTTTGTAAACTGTCCCCGATGCAGAGAAAATTATTATGCCAATACTAATATCTCAAGATTGCTATTTTCTGCTGATACCATCCAAACTGTACTTAACGTTGTGATTTATTGTCTTAAAAAACAAAGGGAGCACCGTCATTGACAAAGGCATTCTAAAAGATGGTTTTGGTGTCATTCTTTATAGGAATGCGATATGTTTTTTTTTTTTTATTCAGCTTCTGATGAAATGATTGTAATTAACACTGATGTGTTCCCATATCTTTATTCAACCAATGTTATTGACCAATACGAAATTCAACTACTATTTAGACTTCAAAACAAAAGTAGAAAAACAAATGTATACAATGTTGTGATATATGAAAGTCTACTATTTCATTTTGTCTGTGTTAACGATAAAAAGTGTCATATGCATCATTTACTTCTTTTTCATGCGTTCTTTTTTCAGTTGGTCTTCTAAGTCTTCGATCTGCTGTCTTAGTTCTGGCAGCTTGTCACGTGCAATATTTTCAGAGGACGCTTTCACCTGAAGTTGTCCTTTCACTTTATTATATTTAGCCTTTAAATCGTCTATTTCTGCTTGCATTGCTTTAACTTTTTCATCGTGCAGTTGTTGAT